TATACCCTGAGTGTACGAGCATGGTGTATGGCACCGAGCATACAAGCGTCTGAGGTGATAGCTCCTATCGTGCTCGACCTCGTGATTGTGCTCCGGAACCACAATCAGTTGGCATACACAATGAACCTACAATTTCAGAAAATTTTGTAGAAATCTCAAATTTATATTTTTATTGTTCAAGGGTTGTCCTTTGTTGAGCGGGTGAGGTCCGTGCCCATCTTTGGATGAGGCTTCGAACTGAGGAGAAGTCTGCTGCTCGTGAGGGAGACCCTCAACCGCCGTTGTCGCTCGAGCTGCCTCCATCCATGGATGTCGCCGGACGGAGTTGAAGGTGAATCCATGTCGCTGAGGTCAGCCGAAAAGAGCTTGTGCAGTCCTCGGTTCGTACGGATAGAGGAGATAGAGAGTGATGGCAAGGCTCGGTCTGCGTCACGTGTGAAACCCGCTCGTCAATCCTAGGAACCTCAAGCAGCCATTAATGGCAAGGCTCCGTCTGCGTCCGCCGTTGCTTAGTTCTCCCGGTCGTTCGTCGCTCGGGTTCTCCTTGGTTCAACCTTGGTGGCTGCGTATCCTTGGGACCTAATCTGGAAAATTTCATATCTGATTTTTGCTCGAATCTCTACCGGTTCCTACCAAAAAATGAGAGACGGCTCTCAACGACAGCACCAATGTTGGTAGAAAATATCCCGGGTAGAGAAACTAGCAGCATTTCAGTATAGTAAAAATAGCGTAGAGAATACAAGGGGGTGATGGCCTATTTATAGGCATCCATCACAAGTCCAAAGTCTAATCTACGTGGGCTTGGCCCAAATACATAATACATGTCCAAGCTAATGGGTGAACCGGCCCGATAAATAAGTAAATGAGCAAGGGGTGATTCCCGCTCGTGAGACTGTGTCTTGGGCCTAGTTGGGCCAAAGCTCGGGGATAACGGGCCGATGGCACTGGGCCTGACATATTATCCCAACAATAAAAAATATTACAAAAAGTATGTAATACAAAAAAGTAATACAGAAATAAAAACAGTGTGTGAATTTGAAATTTAACATACTTCTTTTATTTAGATTAATATTTTTTTGTTATGAATTTGTGATATCCCAGATCAACAATCGATTAACACTAAATAATAATATGTAGAAAAGATGTAGAGGATGGAATATCAAACAAGTATCAATACCGTATATTCATAATGAATATTGAGTGAATACATGATATACGTATGAAGGTGAGAGGGCAAGAAATAAAGTATAGAGCTCTAACAATGACATGCGTGCGGCGGAAAATAGATGTGAACTCTTAGGAGAAGTTCAAATTCTCTCTATATTTATAGGAGAGAATCAAACATCCTATTACAACAAGGAAAGCCGCACGTCTAGTTTAAATAGTTAGCTAGTCCACTTTAATTACAAAGCTCACTAATAATAGTCTAATAAACAAAGATAATTACAATTAATTTGAACACAATATAATATGTTCTAATAGAATTGATAAAGAATAAAAAATAGATTGAGTTGTAATTTAAGTTGAAGATAAAGAAAAAGTAAAATTGTAATTACATTTTTACCATTTGATGGAGGGTAGAAAAGAATAGAAGAAAATTAAATAAAGAAAAAGAAGCAAAGAGAAAAGGAAGTACGTACGTGCAGACCAAGAAGCAAAATAAAGGAGAAGTAGGATCGGGTACACCATATGCATGATGTGCCGTTCGCACAGTATAATTTGCCAAAAAATAGATAAGTTGTAATTAGAAATGTACATTTATGATTTATCGTATGTCATCTGTATGACATCCTGTTCATTACTAATACTAATTATTGATAATTGTAATTAGTAACTAACAGAATATCATCCAGATGGCAACTGAGAACTAATAAAGGTACACTTCTTAAATTGTGAACAACCTCCTAAATAATCATCACCGACACATCAAAGTAAAAGATATCAAATCTTATATCATTTTAAAATCTTCTCTCATACGGTGTGGGATATTTTCCAAAATAGGAACATCTTTTTATAATAATGATTCAACTCATTCAAGTTCATGTAGTGTCTAAAAGGGCAGGAGGTGCGCCTTTCCAGAAAGATGCGTCGTGGAGGGCGGCCGCTAGTGCTAGACCCATCCCCGAAATCCACCACTCAAACCTCCTATTCCGACTACGAATGGCGGCCATAGTGGAGGCAGCTGGATCGGAATGCATCGTCCCAGGACAGACTGTACCCATCAAATTACTTGGTCTTAAGGTATGGCCTATTGTGATGGATTTGAAGTTTATTAATCTGATGAACAAATCCTTCTTTGATCGCTGGAGCTGCTGTTTAAAGGAATTAAAGCTGATGGAGGCATTATCGCCATTGATCCATTATTGTAAAAGAGAAACATATATGTAAATATTGGTTCTTATTTACGCCAGGTAGGCAGATCGTCCAACCGGCGCAGCATGAGGATGGTGTGCTCGGGTTGCAAAACGACGGAGTATTGTGGCCCGGTTCCATTATTTTTTATTCCTTTTATTGTTAAAAATTGTAATAACTTTTATATTTCTTATCCGATTTTTATAAATTTTATATTAAATTTTTTTATTTTTCATGATCTATCAAATGAGACCAATATTGCTTATGTAAATTTAAAAAATTATGGAACTATTATATAAATGATTATTGGATTATAAGGAAAACCGAACTAAATTTAATGCAGAAAAATAATTGTGTAAATCACAATTTATCTTAAATTTGTGTATATAAAATATTTATTGTATTAGGTATTTATACATGTGAGTTACATATTTTTATATGTGAAATTACATATTTTTACACGTAAAGTTACATATTTCTACACGCGAGTTACATATATATACACACGAGTTGCATTTGACCTGCCTGAACGCGAGTTACATATATTTACACGTCAAGTTACATATTTTTACACGTAAAGTTACGTATTTATACACGCGAGTTTCATATATATACACACGAGTTGCATTTAACCTGTCTGAATGCGTGTTACATATTTTTTTACGTAAAGTTACTTATTTTTACACGTAGAGTTACATATTTATACACACGAGTTGCATTTGGCCTGACTGAACGTGAGTTACATATTTTAACACATAAAGTTACATATTCTTACACGCAAATGTTAATATGTTAAAATTACATAGGCAATATTGGTCTCATTTGAAAGATCATGAAAAATAAAAAATTTTGATATAAATTTTATAAAAATCGGATCAAAAATAAAAAATTTATTAACATTTTTAAGAAAAGGAGAAATAAATAATAACAAAGCCCACTGCAATTTGGCATGGTCCAAGAAGCTGTATTAACCCAATGCATTTCAGTCGGGTTTATAGGTGACCCAAATTTTAAACCGTATTTTTAGGTGGGAACATGACTTGATTTTCCACTTTGATTTGTGTATAGTAAGATACTAGGCTACTTTAATGATGTAAGAAAGTGGTTTTAAAGATTGAGGTTCATAGAACTTGTGTGACTACATAAATGGTGAGAAAAAAATAGTTATGTGCCTCCTTGTAAATAGCATTTAGGGGTGTTTGGAATTTATTCTGCTTCTCGTTCTTTTTCAAAAGCATGAGCAGAATCAGAATCAGATTTTTCAGAAGTTGGTCTCCCTCAGGTTCTAAGAAACCGTTTCTCGGAGTAATTTGGAGCACTCAGAAGTACTTCTACACTTTCATCAAAACACTCAAATATCTATTTCTGTTCATTCAAGGAGTTGAAGTAGTTTGAAGAAGTAGATCCAAACACCCACTTAATTTTTTTTGAGGGGCACCCCCTTAATATTTTATTGGTTGGTTGATCATCATCATCATTGTTATTGTCATAAATTAAGCTTCAATTCAAATTAAATCACTACTTTTTGGAAAATTACATTTGTACACAAATTGTATACAAACTACCTAATTGAATGTGTACAAGCAATTCGAAAAATGACATAATGGTCTGCCAAAATACTTGTGTACACAAGCAATGTATAATTTGTGTACAAATTTTGTGTACAACAAGAATTATCCCTACTTTTTTTGGAGTGAAGTTGAAATTATAACTAGGAATTTCAAGTGACGCAGAAATGGATCTATTAAACTTGTTATGGAACTTGATAGCCTTTTGCAGATAGGGTTGGTAGGTTTTCGCATGTGGATGTGTTTTTTTGAATTGTTTGAGAGCCGCCTCCAGTTTTTGTGGGAAGTCGAATCTTTCATCAACTGGGTAGATAAAGTAATTCATCCCATTTTGCGGTCTCTTGGAGTGACTGCGGGTGATCATTGGATGAGAGTTGTATCCCACGTGATAGAATAGTTGTGCATCTTCTCTATCTTCGTTAGAAGGTTTTTGCGAGCTAATGGTTTTGTTTCTCCTTTTTACTTGCGTATAGCCTTCGTGGAGTTTCTCATCGACCGTAGGAGTATCTTTATTACCTGAAACAGAATTACCTCTACTCACTACAAGAAAAAACGTTTTTTGCGTCGACAAATTGTTGACGCAAAAGAGCATAAGTCGTCGCAAATGCGTCGCACGCAAAAGTCTCGACGCAAATAATGTTTTTGCGTCGACATTGTCTGACACAATTAATAAAATCTTATTTGCGTCGACATATGGACGGAAACGATCTTCCGGAAGTAATCATGCATAATGTCGACGCAAAAGGTGAATATTTATTTGCGTCAACACGTTGACGCAAATAATGCCATCATTTGCGTCCACATGTTGACGCCAAAGCCTATCAGTCATTTTTAAAAATACATTAGTTGCGTCGACATTGTGACGCAAATAACACTGTACAGGTCTCAAATTACACCACATTACCTATTGGTATTCATACAGAACTTTTATTAATAAACCAATGTTACCAAAATCTATCCAAACACAACCAATGTCAACAACACATAAATTCATTCAATATTCATAGTAAAAGTGAGTTATCCTACAACGAAGTTTCATTAAATCATTACAAACATCACAAAATGTAAACATAAATAAATTCATGTTCATCTTAACCAAGTAAAAAGCATATTCAACTCGATATTATCAATCTTGATCATCTTCATCGAGACTCTGATCAAGTTGGTTAGCACTTGATGTCGAAGGAACATCATTTGCGGAGCTGCGTGAAGGAAGTTGAAAGCCACGAATAAATTGTTGTAGGGCACGAAGCATCAACTCCTGATTTGCTTGCATCAACTCTTGATTTGCCTTCAATTCACTTATTTGAACATCCCGGTGGTCTTGGAATGTTGAAGTAGCGACATCTTCCACTTGTCGAGATGCACCCTTTGATAGGGTAGGACCCACTCCGCTTTAGCGTCCGCGATATCTTCTCAAGTTCCGGTGCATAATATCAATCTCATTTATTGAAGATGATGACCCTGTTTGTCCTAGCTGTGTTTGGTACTCTTCGCTCATTTGAGTCTATCAAATTACAATTCATACAGTTACATATCATTATGATTACAATTAATAAAATATTTTTAATATACTTACATATTTTTCATGTGCTTCTTTTGTTCTCCATTCGCCACTACGAGTCAAACGTTGATCTTTCCAATTTTCAAGAGCTGAGTACTGCTCACCAGTTTCTGGATCATTCTGTTTAATATTCATTATAATTGTCAACATCTAAAATAAAATGAATGATCAATAACTAACATTAACATTAAATTAGTAGCTTGAAATTTTAACATTGATCGATCAGTAATCACTACCACAACAATAAGGATTGTACTACTAAATATAATCTTTGAAAAACCTGCAAAACTAAAGCAGAAATATACGATTAAGTGATTTACATACTGCTTATTAAAATATATACGAGAGGTAAACTATATATTAACCAAGGCCTTAGGGACACCCCGAAACAAAATTGTACCACAAAAAAAACACAATAAATCATACAAAAAAACTGCACCATACCTAAAAAACGACACCCAATTAAACTACAATATAACATAAAAACGGCCAAGGAAATTACAACATACATTCATATGTCATCAAACACCAATAACAAATATATGTAATCACCCAATCACTGCCACATATCACAACTCAAAATGAAATAACAAAGACTCATTTCTTACTTTTTCGTGCATATATTGGGCATATGATTTTCTCCCATGCCCACTTTTATCATCACTTGCTTCTCTATTGTGTAGGTTTTTTGAAGAAATTTCCTGTAAGTATGAAACTAAGTCAGAAATTAGAACTTTAATTGTATAATAAAAAGGAAATATACTCATACTAAACCTTGAACTTCATAGAATTGAATCTCTCACAACACTTCTGCCATACTCATACAACACTTGCACCTTCCCCATCCGTTTCTTTTTCTGTATTCAAATCATTCTTCTGGAAACACCCTTCAATATTCACTGGCCCTTCAACTTACTCCATCCAAACTCGCCAGTCTCTATTTCCAGCAATTCTCTATCTCTCAGGAGTTTTCCGTTCCACCCTTTCAGAACTGGTGAAGTCCTCCCCACTTTGCGTCTGTATAAAACAACACGGTCCACATACATAGAACAACAACACAAAAAAAGTTTGTCAATACAATGTAGCAGTTAAGAGAAAATAAAACTTAAAATCCTATAAACCTATTTCTTTTTTTAAACTTACTACTAAAAACAACAATGGACCGGTAAAGGCTTTTTCTTTCTTCTCCCATGAAACTTTGTTCTCAATTAAAAAATTAAGAACATGGTCACACCAATTTAGTTCACTCATCTGATCAACATCTTCCAAGTGATTCATTATCAGTGGATTGACATACCCATTATTGGTGCTATCAAGTAGTAAAGATACAACAAGAACAATGGAGTGCCTTTTGAACCAGTCACCTCCTTCACTTTTGCTAAGAATGGTTGCACTAACATCTGATGGGCTAATCTTTGAGTCCTATTTGTCAAATATTGCTTTTCATTCATGCAGCAAAGCACAATCCTTCACTTTTTTGTTTCTCTCTTCTAAAATCTATGGAAAGTAACTTAAGGAGAAGCACTCTTGAGGTTTTTGGTGATGGTGGCATTGTGATTTCTCCAACCATGTGAAAAGCCTACTGCGTTTCAAAATCAAATGGCACTCTCGAGCCATCACCAACATAAGTTCCAGCCCAATAAGGACTTCCACCTCTGGCGGCACACTCTCCATCTCAAACATCATACTGTGATGAACAAGTTGTACATCATGCTGCATTGCTGCTGCTTGTCTTCATAGGAGTTTCTCATCCTTAACAGAGGAGAAGATCTGCAAGATTATAATGCTACTATAGAGTATATGGAAACATCAAAATCATGTCGTGTGGAGGGGAGTTGCATTTTCTAGTAGAGGAGTGTTGTGGGTTGGTACTGCTATGTTGGAAAGTTGGAAATCAGTACAGGTCAAGAGGAACAAATGCCAATAATTCCAAGGCAAAATGACATAAGCCGAAGATAAGAGAACCGGACGATAGGCCTGCGGTTGGATAGTGAGAGATTGCAAAGGGGTTTTTCTTAGAGCACGAAGCCGAGCTGTTAATTCTGGTTGGTCTCCACTTGAGGCGGGGCTATTGGAGTTCGGGATGCGATTCTTTGGGCAAAAGAGGCTGGTTGTAGCAAAGTGGTGATGGAAACGGATGCGGCGTTGGTTCTATCCAGGATAAAAGGAGAAACTAATGTTTCTCAAGTGGGAGTCATTTTTAGGACATCAAATATATGTTAAGAGACAATCCAAATCACAAAGTCCAATGGTGTAGGCGGCAAGCGAACCAAGTGGCTCATGCAATTGCTAGAGCGGCTGTTTCAATGTCTGGTAGAAAAGAAAATGATCTTTAATATGAGCGGTTAGTTTTCTTCCCAAACAAACTCGTGTTATGAAAAATGTAACTAGCGTTGATGAAAAATCTAACTTCGGTGTATGCAAAATGTAACTTGTTGAAATGAGTCCGAATGTAACTTGCACGCAGGAAGATGCAACTCACAGTAAAAAGATATAACTCGTCCACAAGAAGATGTAAATCCATATACTAGCAAATGTAACTCCAAATATTGTCTATAAACATAACTCACACATGTGAAAAAGTAAACCACGCATATGAAGATATAATATCATATCTTATCAAATGTAAATCGAACTAAACAAATGTAATGTCTTAAAAACACTTAAAACATATCAAAGATATAAAAATATATTATAGGTAAAAGTTTATGAATATGAAAAAATATATTGCAAAAAATGTATCATACACAAAAATATTACATAAATAAAAATAGTGTATGAATGTGAAATGTAATATATTTATTTTATTTAGATTAATATTACAAAATAGTGTATAACAAAAAATGATACAAAAAGTATATAATACAAAAAAGTAATACAGAAATAAAAACAGTGTGTGAATTTGAAATTTAACATACTTCTTTTATTTAGATTAATATTTTTTTGTTATGAATTTGTGATATCCGAGATCAACAATCGATTAACACTAAATAATAATATGTAGAAAAGATGTAGAGGATGGAATATCAAACAAGTATCAATACCGTATATTCATAATGAATATTGAGTGAATACATGCTATACGTGTGAAGGTGAGAGGAAAACAAATAAAGTATAGAGCTCTAACAATGAAATGCGTGCGGCGGAAAATAGATGTGAACTCTTAGGAGAAGTTCGAATTCTCTCTATATTTATAGGAGAGAATCAAACATCCTATTACAACAAGGAAAGCCGCACGTCTAGTTTAAATAGTTAGCTAGTCCAATTTAATTACAAAGCTCACTAATAATAGTCTAATACACAAGATAATTACAATTAATTTGAACACAATACAATATGTTCTAATAGAATTGATAAAGAATAAAAAATAGATTGAGTTGTAATTTAAGTTGAAGATAAAGAAAAAGTAAAATTGTAATTACATTTTTACCATTTCATGGAGGGTAGAAAAGAATAGAAGAAAATTAAATAAAGAAAAAGAAACAAAGAGAAAAGGAAGTACATACGTGCAGCCCAAGAAGCAAAATAAAGGAGAAGTAGGATCGGGTACACCATATGCATGATGTGCCGTTCGCACAGTATAATTTGCCAAAAAATAGATAAGTTGTAATTAGAAGTGTACATTTATGATTTATCGTATGCCATCAGTATGACATCCTGTTCATTACTAATACTAATTATTGATAATTGTAATTAGTAACTAACAGAATGTCATCCAGATGGCAATTGAGAACTAATAAATGTATACTTCTTAAATTGTGAACAACCTCCTCAATAATCATCACCGACACATCAAAGTAAAAGATATCAAATCTTATATCATTTTAAAATCTTCTCTCATACGGTGTGGGATTTTTTCCAAAATAGGAACATCTTTTTATAATAATGATTCAACTCATTCAAGTTCATGTAGTATCTAAAAGGGCAGGAGGTGCGCCTTTCCGGAAAGATGCGCCATGGAGGGCGGCCGCTAGTGCTAGACCCATCCCCAAAATCCACCACTCAAACCTCCTATTCCGACTATGAATGGCGACCATAGTGGAGGCAGCTGGATCGGAATGCATCATCCCAGGACAGACTGTACCCATCAAATTACTTGGTCTTAAGGTATGGCCTATTGTGATGGATTTGAAGTTTATTAATCTGATGAACAAATCCTTCTTTGATCGCTGGAGCTGCTGTTTAAAGGAATTAAAGCTGATGGAGGCATTATCGCCATTGATCCATTACTGTAAAAGAAAAACATATATGGAAATATTGGTTCTTGTTTACGCCAGGTAGGCAGATCGTGCAACCGGCGCAGCATGGGGATGATGTGCTCGGTTGCAAAACGACGGAGTATTGTGGCCCGGTTCCATTATTTTTTATTCCTTTTATTGTTAAAAATTGTAATAACTTTTTTATTTCATACCTGATTTTTATAAATTTTATATTAAATTTTTTTATTTTTCATGATCTATCAAATGAGACCAATATTGCTTATGTAAATTTAACAAATTATGGAACTATTATATAAATGATTATTGGATTATAAGGAAAACCGAACTAAATTTAATGCAGAAAAATAATTGTGTAAATCACAATTTATCTTAAAATTGTGTATATGAAAAATTTATTGTATTAGGTATTTATACATGTGAGTTACATATTTTTATATGTGAAGTTACATATTTTTACACGTAAAGTTACATATTTCTACACGCGAGTTACATATATATATACACACGAGTTGCATTTGACCTGCCTGAACGCGAGTTTCATATATTTACACGTAAAGTTACATATTTTTACACGTAAAGTTACATATTTATACACGCGAGTTTCATATACATACACACGAGTTGCATTTAACCTGTCTGAACGCGAGTTACATATTTTTTTACGTAAAGTTACTTATTTTTACATGTAGAGTTACATATTTATACACACGAGTTGCATTTGGCCTGACTGAACATGAGTTACATATTTTAACACGTAAAGTTACATATTTTTACACGTAAATGTTAATATGTTAAAATTACATAGGCAATATTGGTCTCATTTGAAAGATCATGAAAAATAAAAAAATTTGATATAAATTTTATAAAAATCGGATCAAAAATAAAAAATTAATTAACATTTTTAAGAAAAGGAGAAATAAAAAATAACAAAGCCCACTGCAATTTGGCATGGTCCAAGAAGCTGTATTAACCCAATGCATTTCAGTCGGGTTTATAGGTGACCCAAATTTTAAACCGTATTTTTAGGTGGGAACATGACTTGATTTTCCACTTTGATTTGTGTATAGTAAGATACTAGACTACTTTAATGATGTAAGAAAGTGGTGTTAAAGATTGAGGTTCATAGAACTTGTGTGACTACATAAATGGTGAGAAAAAAATAGTTATACTGTTGGAAAAAGTGTGTTAAAAGTGTATCAAATGGTCATTGTGGGGCAATTATTTGAGTGGGATCCACTTCCGATTTGGGTCGGGTCAAAGTGGTTACGGATTGTCCTTGCTAAGGGCCACAATTCGATATATGGTACTCTCAAAACGGATAACGGGTGAATGAGAAATTGTTTTTCGAAGTTTACCCGTTGGAATGGAGAAAACTAAGAAAATGTGGGTTTTAGTGTGGGTTCTTTCCCACACCGAAAATCACAAGGGAATTTGAACCCTTTATAAAGGGAAACCCCCCCTGAGGAGTTAAGATTCCTAAAGGGAAAGGCTCTCTCACGCCCGCAGGGACGGGGGTGCGAATCAAATCCTGAAACTGAAGAACAAAAACCGTGACTTGCGTGTGCGGGTGACCTGCACACACGAATGCCGTCCGAAAATCTATCTTCTAAAGATAACGTTAATTCTTGTTCTTCCGGTACGTTCCTACTTTAATTTTTGCTCCATGCACATAAATGCCCAACGTTTAGGACATTGATGTCCAACGATCATAACCCTTAAACAACCATTAACACACCTTAATCCACCCCTATAAAAGGCTAGTAGGTGCTTTGCAAAGATACA